GAAACTAGGACTGAGCGTCGATCATGGGTGTATCTCGTATTTGTGAATACTTGACTAATTCGAATAAATATTTACCCTATACTTAAAAATAAATAGTTAAATATTATCTATAAAAAATACACATCTATCAATTATTAGGTTAAATAGTGGGTATAAGAGTTTCTATCAACATACATGACCAGTACACCTAAATTATACTCAATAATTGTATATATGTGAAGTATGTAAATCTTTAAACTCATCATTAATAATGTTTTTAAAAAGTTTATGAATAAGAGTGAGCATTGTCACGTATAAGTTGAGTATGAGATATATTTATGAATTAATTTGAAAATTTTTAGATATATTTTTTTATTTTTAATATTTATCCAAATATTTAAAGACCTATGTTTGATATTTAACCTGATAGGTATTAGGTAATTTATAAGTATGAGATGCTATTGTTCTGTACTATTTGTTTGGTTTAAGATTTAATATTTATGAAAATTGTTATTGTTACGTATGTAATTTGTTTAGTTTATATGCTTAGCTTTCTTATTTTATTTTTTTTTTGTATTTTATTATTTTTATTTTAAAAGATTAATGTTATTATATAGATATTAAGTATAATAACTATATATACAATTTCTATTATATAAATATAAGTAATAGATAAATTAAATAAAATGGTTAAACATATCAAATAACTAATTTTAAATTCTTATATTTATTACTTAATTTAATATTTACAAATATATATTATTTTTATATTTATTACTTATCTATTTATTCCACTATTCAAATATGGTATTTAAGGGAAGGTGGGGTAGCACCCGAATGCATGAATCAGCTCAATATATAGTTTTTGAATTTAGTATTAATGGGCTAGTTTAGGGCTCTTCCACGCCGGCCCAGTGAACAATTATAACAACCTTTGGGTCGAGACTACCCAAAAGCCGAACGAAGTTATTAAATCCATCGGGCCAATATATGGGTCCAATCTAATCCCTTAATCCTTATTCATTATTATCAAAGAAAAAGAAGTGCATCAAAAAAAAAAAAATCAAAAGAAAATGAAAAAGCATTTATTAAAAAAAAATATTTTTTTGAAAGGGACAATTATTTCCATACTAACAATATAGGACCTGGTTATATAAAAACAGAACATTGGCAGACTTTGAGACTCTAACTGTCATCATATTAGAGATGGGTGACTCTCCCTCAACTCAGGTGGGAGACTAACCAAGCCGGATCATAGAAAGCAAACTATTTTGATTGACCCCAATGTTTGGCATCAACTGCACTTGACCTATTAACATGCACCTTTGAAAACTTATACTTGTGTAAGCGTATATACATGCTTGCATATTTTGTTTTATATATGAATTTGTGTTTGTGTTTTACATTTATATATGAGTTTTACACATCACATTTATACAAAATCTGAACCATTTATTTATCTAATTTCAATGATTAAGATTTATCATAAATTTTTGATAAAAAAAATTATATTTAACTTTATATATATTTATATATATATATATGAGAAGTGATCCATTTACACACAAATTTTACACACCACACTTATATAAAATTTTAATTATTCATCTCTCCACTTTCAATTGTTAAGATTTATTCTGACTTTTTAAATAAAAAAATAATTATATTTAATAAATAGGATAATAGATGAATAAATCTTAATTATTAAAAATTAAAAGAGGAATGGTTAAGATTTTGTATAAATATAATGTTATAAGATTAGTGAGTAATAAATTTCAACTATTAAAAGTG